GGGCAAATTCTTTTGATTGGAATTTATGCTCCCAACCAACAACAGGATTATTTTTACAAGATGTTACATACTAAAATATTGCAATGGGACCACAGATCTATTTTAATTATGGGAGATTGGAATGGAGTAATTGATTCTAAATTAGATAAAAAGAGCTTGGCAAAGTCTAGAATTAGATTACCACAGACCTTTTTTGATATGAAAGAAGATATGGAACTAAAAGATGTTTGGAGAATACATAATCCAAATGAATTGGATTACACTTTTTTTTCTGATAGACATAGATCCTTTTCTAGGATTGATTTTATCTTGTTGTCAAATGATCTACTTGTTAAGACAAAAAGAATAAAGATTTTTCCAAGAACTTTGACTGATCATAGTCCTGTATGGATAGAAATCGAGATGGATAAGGTTGAGAGACGTTCTTGGAGATTAAATGAGAACTTGTTTAGATATGAAAAAAATATAATAGAACTTAAAAAGCATTTGAAAGAATTTTTTGAAATAAATTTGAATAAAGGTACCCCAGTTGAAATTGTTTGGGATGCAAGTAAAGCTTATATGAGAGGGGTACTTATCTACATGAATTCTAAACATAGACTGTTCCGACAAAAGAAAAGATCTGAGTTGGAAATGGAAATAAAGAATAAAGAACAGTTACTTATTAAAAACCCAACAGATGAAAGAATACGAAGTGCTATAAAACTTTTGAAAGACCAATTCCAAATGCTTATGGCGGAACAAGTTGCAACAAGCTTACAATACGCGAAGCATAATACATTTTGCAATGCTAATAAACCGGGCAGATGGTTGGCCTACACATTGAGGAAAAAACAAAGTATGCGGACTATTGACAGTATCGATATTGGAGGGAAAGAAATTTTTCAACAAAAATTAATTAAAGAAGCTTTTGTGGATTATTATACTAAACTATATGCTAAAGAAGAGGTGCAGAATGGACTTATAGAAAAATATTTAAAGGATAAGAGAGTTACAAAAATTACTGATCAACAAAAGGAAAGAATGAATTATCTTATAACAGAGGAGGAGATAATAGTAGCAATTAAACAGCTAAAAACAGCTAAAGCTCCTGGCACGGATGGTTTGACTGCAGTGTATTACAAAACTTTACAAGCTGAAATGGTGGGACAACTTAGAGATTTATTTTGCAATATTCAACAAGGGGGTAAAATACCCCCATCCTGGACAACTGCTTATATATCTTTGATACCAAAGGAACAAGTTGGTCCTAAAAAACCAGAGAACTACAGACCAATATCTCTTTTGAACACAGACTATAAAATTTATGCGAAGGTATTAGCCAACAGGTTGATGCCAGTAATCCAAAAGGTGATTCATGAGGACCAAGCGGGATTTATTGAGGGCAGATACATGAAGGACAATGTAAGGCAAGTAATAGACTTATTGGAATATCTTGATAAGAATAAACAGATTTCTGCAGTGCTGGTCTTTTTGGATGCGGAGAAGGCCTTTGATAGAGTGGATTGGAATTTTCTACTAAAGACTTTAAAAAAGATGGGCTTTGGGGACCAATTTACACAGGCGATCTCAGCAATTTATCAAGAGCAAAAAGCACAGATTATTATTAATGGAAGTTTGACGACAGAGTTTAAAATTGAAAAAGGAACAAGACAGGGATGTCCGTTGTCCCCACTTTTATTTATTTTAACATTGGAAGTCTTGCTAAATACAATACGGGACTCAAAAATTTTGAAAGGTATAATGATAAGGCAAGAGGATTATAGAATAAAGGCATTTGCAGATGATCTGGTGGTTACCCTATCACAACCAATGGAATCAACAATCCTGATGAATGACATTATACAAGATTATGGTAGAGTTTCAGGTTTTAGACTGAATTCAAAAAAGACTAAAATGATAGTCAAAAATATGACACAAGATCGTAAACATGAGCTTGAAAGGAGGGCAGGTTTTGAAATTGTACCTAAGGTAAAATATCTTGGAGTTCAGGTTGCAGAATCAAATATGAAATTGTTTCAAAATAACTATGAGGTGTTGTGGCGAGAGGTTCAGAAAGACATGGAGACTTGGAAAAAGCTGCAACTGTCTTTACTTGGAAGAATAGCAGCAGTTAAGATGAACATGTTGCCAAGATTTCTGTTTTTGTTTCAAATGATTCCGGTGCTTAAAAGTGATAAACAACTGAAAGTTTGGCAAACTGGACTTAATAAGTTCGTCTGGAACGAGAAAAAGCCGAGAGTGAAATTGAAAATTATGCAAGATGTTCCAGAAAGAGGAGGCCTTAAACTTCCAAACCTACAGTTATATGATGATGCAGCAGCTTTAACTTTAACAAGTGATTGGTTTGGGGGTAAAAAGGCTGGAATATTGAATGCAGAAAGTTTTGATCTTGAATTTGGATGGCATGCTTACCTATTTTATGATGACAAAGTTGATAAAGTATTTAAAAGTCATATACTTAGAGACTCTTTGATGAGAGTTTGGAAGAAGCACCGACTCAAATGGGATTATAAAATACCGCTATGGCTGGATCTTGGTCATACTTTGTGGAATACAAATATAATGTCACTCGGGGGGTTTTTATACAAAGAGGTTCTTTTTACAGATGCGGGCAGATGGCAGTTGAAGACATTGCAGACACTGTTGGATGAAGGGATTAATTTAACCTGGTTACAATATAATCAATTACAATTGAGATGGAAAGAGGACCAAAAAACTGGTATTATGTTGCATGAGGAAGAATTGGTTAGACATATAAGAGAGAAAGGTCTAATGCATATTAAAAGGCTTTATAATGTTTTGCTAGAAAGGGATTCAGAAACGGAATTAGTTAAAGATTGCATGATTAAGTGGGCACAAAATTTTGAAGAACCAGTGATGTTGGAAACATGGGAAAAAATTTGGGTTCAGAATGTTAAATTTACACAGTCGCAGAATCTGAGGGAAAATTTTTATAAAATGTTTTATAGATGGCATTTAGATCCTAAAAAGTTGTCATGTATGTACCCTAATGTTCAGCCAAAATGTTGGAGATGTGAATGTTTGGATGCTACGTATTATCATGTTTGGTGGACCTGTAGGAAAGTTAAGGCTTTTTGGATAAAAATATGGTGGGTCATGCAGAACGTTTTGAAGAAAAAAATTCAATTTTCTCCACAATTGTTTTTATTGGGCATAGTTAAGGGTTTTACACGGGATGAAACAAAATTAATATTGTATATGATAACAGCAGCAAGATTGTTGATAGGTAAATATTGGAAGAATGAAGCTTTGCCTACTATCGAGGAATGGACTTCGAAGATGGCCAGTTTTGCAGAGATGGCGAAGATTTCAGCATATTTAAAAGATTGTTCACAAGAGACTTATGAATGGGAATGGAAAAGGTGGATAGAATATGTTCAGAACAAATACCAAATTAGAAAGTATCAAATAGCTTTTATTTGAAAACAATGTATTAGAAATATTTTAATATAAAGAGACAAAGAGGGAAAATTATATAGGGGGAGGGATGGGTTCAGGTATATATATCAGTGTTATTAGTTATGAGTACATAATAGGGAAGTCTGTGGGGGGAGGGTTAGGGAGGGTTAGGGAGGACGGGAAGTTTGGGGAGGGAGGTGGGGGGGTGAAAAAAGGGGTGAAAATGTAATTGTAAAACTTTTGCAATAAAAATAAAAATAAAAAAAGAAATTTAATTTATTACCTGTTAAAAATGCAAAGCCAAGGAGTACAAGGAGCAAATAAAAGCCACACCCACAAAATAAGCCACGCCCAGGGAACCGGTAGTAAAAAATTTTAGAACCCACCCCTGGTCAGCCCCTTCTGATTTCAACCCCGATTCTGTCGGAATCTCCCTCCCTCCCTCCCTCTTTCTTTCTTTCTTTCTTTCTTTCTTTCTTTCTTTCTTTCTTTCTTTCTTTCTTTCTTTCCTTCCTTCCTTCCTTCCTTCCTTCTTTCCTTCCTTTCTTCTTCCTTCTTTCCTTCCTTCCTTCCTTCCTTCTTTCCTTCCTTCCTTCCTTCCTCCTTCCTTCCTTCCTTCCTCCCTCCCTTCCTCCCTCCCTCCCTTCCTTCCTTCCTTCTTTCCTTCCTTTCTTCCTCCTTCCTTCCTTCCTTCCTTCTCATTATCCACAGGCCCCACCCCCCACCTGCTCTAAAGTAAGACATTCCCCCAAAATAAGACTTAAGAAACGTTTTTTATACTTAAAATGGTCATTAGGGCACAGAACCGTTTGTTAAGTTTTCTAAATCCCACCACTGGTTGTATCCTACCTTTATTTCTCCGCTGGACCTTTTTCTGGAAATGGTAGAAAAAATTTCCTGCCATCCTTGCAGTGGTAGCAGTTGAGAATGAGGCAGGACAGCCGGCCAAGGTCTTATGACACGTGCTGTGATGTCATCATCTCTGATCCAGCTGTGGGCAGATGCCAGGCTGCCCCCTCCAGCAACGGTGGACCTTTCCATAGGGAGCCTCACACGCGCTGACAGAGAGACCCCGAGAGGTCTGGAAGGAAAAGAGGAAATGGGGGGGGGGTGAAAGATGGAGGGGAGGCCCCCCAAGGCTCCCAGGAGAACGGAGCCCACAGAATGTTCCGCTAAGTGCTAATATTGTAATATTATGACCCAAGAGAGGACCTTTCAATCTCTCTCTCCAAGGTTAAAGGGATCAAGTGGATCATTCATCTCCCTCTCAGTCCACCCGCTCCCCTCCTTCCCCCCTTTCCCTCCTGGATCCTCTAGCCCACTCCTCTCATAAAACGGACTCGCTTCACTTAATTTCCTTGGAGATTTATTTGGTGAGGTGGGACATTGGAGGCAGGCGGGGCAGCTGGGAAGGAGAGATCCGGTCTGGTCCATCATTTAGGGAAAGATCGGATTCCAAAGTCTTTTTGGTCCAGAGGTTTCCCAGCCAACTTTCCCAGCCTCTGACAATCCAAGTCAATGGGAGAAGCCGGACTCACTTAATGACCAAAGTGGCCAAAGAGGTTGTATACCGCTTATAACCGTTATACGCTTAGAGCTCGAAGCATTGTTGGAGACCCCACCCACCCACTCTGGCTCCCCTCTGGGAGGGGGTTTCCAAGGATTTCCAGCAGGACTCCCCGATTCTGTAGGGGCTTTACTCCCGATGCCCTCCGCCTGGGAAACTCAGGATGCCTTTTTCTCACCAGGTACATGTACACATCCGAACGAGACTGTGATGTTTCTCTGTGTCAGATAATATAGGTGTGTATGTGGATATATGCATAATTTTATTTATTTATTTAGTCATGATTATGTAGTGTATATTGGAGGTGGCAGCCCTTTGAGAGCTCTATGCAACAAAATTCCATTTTAATGTATGCTGATTAGTGTACATTTAAAGTGATAATAAAGTTATCCTGTCCTATCCTATTCTGTATTTACTTTTCTATTATTTCTATTCTATTCTATTCCATTCTATTCCTTCCAACTCTTCTATTCTATTCTATTCTATTCTATTCTATTCTATTCTATTCTATTCTATTCTATTCTGCATTTTCTATTCTATTCTATTCTATTCTATTCTATTCTATTCCATTCATTCCATTCTATTCCATTCCGTATTTTCTATTCTATTCTATTCCATTCCGTATTTTCTATTCTATTCTAATTCTAATTCTATTCTCTTTGATAATCTCAAGGTGGATGCCTGGAGATGTAGTCATGGCAACAGTGTTTACTTTTTTATTAGCTGAGGGTTTTTGCTGCTGCTTCAGTCTGAACCACTTGGACAGGGGGATTCTGGGTAGTCAGAGAGCCGTTAGAATGTACCAACTCATAAAATTCTCAGGGGTCGTCCTGTCTTAACGGTCTTGATCTTCCTGGGGGCTGATGAGAGAGCAGCCCAGAAAATGGGGGACCGGCTGTGTCTGAGGCCTCCGCCTCCAGAATAGAATAGAATAGAAGAGAATAGAATAGAATAGAATAGAATAGAATAGAATAGAATAGAATAGAATAGAATAGAATAGAATAGAATAGGAGCTGGAAGGGACCTTGGAGGTCTTCTAGTCCAGCCCCCTGCTCAAGCAGGAGAACCTAAATGATCTCAGACAAGTGACTGTCTAGTTTCTTCTGAAAAACCTCCAGGGATGAAGCAGCCACAACTTCTGGAGGCAAGCAGTTCCACGGGTCACTTGTCCTCCCTGTTAGGAAGTTTCTCCTTAATTCCAGGCTGCTTCTCTCTTTGTTCAGTTTCCATCCGTTGTTTCTTGTCCTGCCCTCTGGTGCTCTGGAGAATAATTTGACCCCGTCTTCTTTGTGGCAGCCTCCCAGATATTGAAATACTGCTATCATATCACCCCTAATTCTTCTTTTCTTTAGACTAGCCAGACCCAAAACCTGCAGCTGTTCTTCCTATGGTTCAGTCTCCAGGCCTAAACAGGGACACTGTGAGGATCTGCCTTCTAAGTTGCGTTTCTCAGCTTTGTCATAACTTTCAACCGTTGCTAAATGAATAGTCATAAGACAAGGAGAACCTGTATTGCAGGCATTCAGAGAATCACGGAATGTAAGCTTTGAAAGGCATCTTCATGGTCATCTAGTCCAACCCCATCCCCCGTGCAGGAACCCAATGCCACAAACACACCATTTACATAGACGGATCTCTCATTCTTGCATTTTAATGGGCTTTTCTTTATTTTTATCAGGGAGTTGATGAGAATGATTCAGAGCCAAATCTGATGTCTGACGTGACCTGGAAGGAGAGTCCTATCCAGCTCCAGTGGGTCCTCAAAGGCCTGAGGAACAGCAGCCAAAAAGGCAAGAGGAGAAGCCATTTCAGTGCTCGATGGGAGAAAAAAGGAAGAGGAGATCCCTCACTTTCCATCAACGAATCTCCTCAGAAGGAAGATCACCTCAAGGCATGGAGTGTGGATCTCTACCATAGACGTCTGTCAATCTTGAATGGCTTGAACAGATGCTTCCCTCCATTTCTGCACATTTCAATGAGGTGTTTCTGTTCCTTTTTCTTGGAGAAGAATTATGGATACATCCAGCCAACCCCTCTGGAGGCTCCAGGACCTTCCTTTGAAAGGTTGACCAGGGATGCCAGAAGAGTCTTCCTGCCAGGGAGTCTCTGGATGGCTGAGGAGAAGCCTCTGTGGGGCTTTCTTGGCTTTGAGATTCTCCCCAGAAGCTTTCAGCCATTCCTTCTCCGGTTTATACGGCAGCATCAAAGGTTTCACGTCTTCAAGAGTTTCTCTCTTGTCTTCCATTGTTCTAATGTCTGCCTTTGTGTTTCTTTTGGACTCCGTACTATTAAGTGGTACCAGCTGGTCTCTGTACATCAGTCACCTGCAGAGGTTCTTCCTCAGTTCTTTCTCTCTAGAAAAATCACAAGGTTAGAGATAAATTTGGACCAACAATGAAAATCAGGGGTGCTGTCAGAAAATTTCTCACCTCCTGTTTCTCCTCCAGCTCCTTGCAGAGTCCTGCGTTGTTTTCCACAGGCTGGAAATTTTCCTTCAGGAGCTCCTCATAGTAGACCTAGCTTTATACACATAGGACTAAAAGTGTCAGGAGCCAGACATTCGTAAGTTTTCTCCTTCTTTTGGAACTTTATTTTAGAAATGTAGGGGTGTTTGTAGTACAATAGATGTTTCAATCCATTTTGGGATTCCTCGGGAGCTTTTCCTAGTTCTTCAAGTCCTCCTCCTGGTCCTCTCCTTCCCCATGGGATGTTCCAGCCCCTTCAACATGGCGGTTGGTGAGTGATGGAGTCTCTGGCTCTGGAAGAATGAGAAGGGGAGATTTAGTAGTAAGGGTTCCAATGTGGCCTCCCCATTCTAATTTTCATCTATTCCTCCATCTCTTATAGGGTAGATTCTTCATCCTGGAATCCTAATGTTATTTTATGTAGGCTGATGAAAAAAATTAACTTTTGAATTTAAATGGAGGAAATGGGTGGATTTGTCATCAATCCCTGCGTCCATTTCATGATTCCAGGAGTGGCTGGATGAGATCTCATTTCTTTCTAAGCTGCTTCAAGGAATCCTGGTCCTCTCCCTCCCTCCTTCAGGGCTGCTATCTCCATATTTCTCACCTTCTCAGCCTCTCCCTGAAATTCTGCAGGATTGTTGCCTTCTCCTCGCTCAAATTCTGGTTCTTCAATCTGAGTTCTTTTATTTCATCTTTTAGCTCCACTCGTTCCTCAACCATCTCCTCAAACATTTTTGAATTCCTGATTTCAGAAGAAGATTCCAGAAGATTTGTTCTGGAGCTCCCAGTGTTTGGGGCCTCCTGCTGCACACTTGTGAAGTGATAAGACAAGAATGCAGACATGAGCCACTGTTGGACACTCTGGTCATTCAAGTCTGGTCAGTTCCAGGACTAATGAAATAACAACAATGACAATAATGATGATAATAACAATGACAACTGTATTGATAACTGAAAAATAACAAGAAAAAGCAATAACAACCTATGGAAGTTGAGCGAGGAGACCACGTTCTTCTGTTGTCCTGCACTTTTCAGGGATGGCTGGATGTGGCTGAGACAGAGAATCATTTCTCCTTGGTGAGGAGGAAGGGGCGAGGAGGGAAAGGAGGGGGAGGGGGAGGAAGAGGGGGAGGGGAGGAGGAGGCTCCCTGTACTTGAAGCTCCTGGCAGATGTTTCTGGCCATCTTGGGATCCTCAGCAGATTTTCCAAGTCCTCCTCCTGATGTTTCAGCCCCTTCAGCATGGTGGTCGGTCTCTGCCTCTGGAAGAAGGAGAAAGGGAGATTTTGTCGTAAGTGGTCAAATGTGGCCTCCCCATTCTAATTTTCCTCTATCCCTCCATCCCTTATAGAGTAGGTTCTTCACCCTGGAATCATGGTTCAACCAAGCGGCTTCAAGGAATCCTGGTCCTCTCCCTCCCTCAGCCAGGGCTGCTGTCTACCTGCTTCTCACCTCCTCAGCCTCTCCCTGAAATTCCGCAGGATGGTCGCCTTCTCCTCGCTCAACTTCCAGTTCTTCATTTTAAGGTCTTTTATTTCTTCTTTAAGTTGGACTCTTTCTTTTACCATTTCTTCAAACATTTTTGAATTCCTGTAAATGATGAAAAGCAGAAATTAGCCCTCTCATGATAGATGATAGGTGATACTAAATATTTCTCAGCTGTCCAGTTGTTCCTTCAGTCTTTTGTTTTCCGTGAGGAGCTCCTGTTTCTCCCCAGCTTGCTGCAGAACTCTACAGAGGAAGCTTTTATATTCCTTTCTTTCTCGTTCTACCTCTTCCTCCAACGCATCGATTCATGGAAGCAAGGAAGGAAGGATTCCCTTCTAAATATTTCTCACCTCTCCAGCTGTTCTTGGAGAGTTTTAATCTCCGTGAGGAGCTCCCTTTTCTCCCCAGCGTGCTGCAGAACTCTGCAGAGGAGGCTCTTGTACTCCTCTTTCTCAAATGCCAGCTGTTGTTCCAAAGTTTCGATTCTGTAAGAGACGAAGACAAGAGCAAAATTAGCCCCCTCAGGTTTTCACCCCAACCATCCAACCTCCTTGAAATTAAGACTCCCTAAAAATACCTGGCCCTTTCTCACCTCCTCTGCCTCTCCTCCAGCTCCCTGCAGCTAGCCTCTCCGGGTTAAAAGAAAAGGTTATTTGTTATGGGAGAGAATTGATCTCTCAGCCTGATTCCTTCACTTAATAAAATGATCATTTGTCGTACTTAGTAATGGGCACTCAAAACATTCCCCAGAAGATTTAGACTGCTTACCTGAGGGGGACGGGGGGGCGGAGTGATGGACCGCTGAGAGGGATGCCCTTGCTGGATTGGGAGCAACTGGCCAGCCCGTGAAGTCTTCTGCTGAAAAGCCATGGAGATCATAAGGAAGTTGGGCCTGAGCACAGGGAAAACCCTCAAGCCCAGTTAATCCCCCTCACCCAAAAGAGCCATGTTTACTTTCATGGTTTATGTCCTATATATTGGTTGTAACTATATAGTACATACGTCCATGTGTCTCCAGAGGCCAAAGTCCAGCTGCTCTTCTGGTACCACTGGGAAAAAATAGACTTTAAAAACACAAACTTATTGTCATTCATTTTTACACCAGCAGCTTTATCTGGGCTCTTTATTCCCAAATCTTAGGTGCCAGCTGATATTTCTGGCATCTAATCTCTTCACACTTGCTGCTAAACTTAAGTAGATAATAACTCTGTCTTTTTAATTGTCTCCTACCTCTGTTTCTCCGGTGGAGTTTCTTATTGATTCTGTAAAAGAAATTTCCAGCCATTTCTGCAGTGTAGCAATTTAAAATGAGCCAGGACAGCCCAGCCAACATCTTATAACATGTGCTGAGAAAGCTGCCATATTATAATAATGATTGGCACCTAGAAGGGAAAGTCCTAGCATGAACATTTTCATTCAGAAAATCCAAAGATAGTGAAAGGGAAACAATAATAAGGATATAATAAATAATACTAGAATATGATATACTGGTATACTAGATTCTGTAACCATTAGGTTCCTGTAATACATATAGGCCTTTGTATTTGTATCATACATATTATTCCTTTCTATTTGTATCTCCTGTTACAAACATATTGTTATTAGGCCTCTGTAATGTATCTGGTATTTGTCAAACGTATGTCCCTGCCATTTGACCTGAACTCATATCAATCTATCTAAAAGCATTGTACGTATCTCAGTTGAAACTACAGCCATCAACAGGGATAATTTATACCTCAGCCCTAGTTTATGTTTGATCTGAATAAACTCCTGCTTTCCAGAGCCAGGGGGCCAATTGAGTAAACAAAGGAATGCTCAAGGATGACTAATTGGGAAGTTTCTATTCCCCCTTGCAGGGCAACAAGGAATACACAAACCTAAGTTAGGAGGCCAGAATTGGGTACTAAGCTGACGTCTCTGAGGGTGTAAAAGGAGCCATACCTTCCCCAAGGTGTGGCTATCTCCTCGCATGCATTGTATCTATATGTTCTGGATATAGTTCCACCCAGTATTTTGGTTTTGGCCATAAATAAAATCTGTTTTTTTGCAAGCCTCATCTCTCTCTCTCTTTGGCATTCTGGTGACTCAAGTGTATTTTGTGACCTTACATTTCTGGCGCCTGAACAGGGACTTGAAGGCAAAGTTTCTTCAAGGTGGCTGCATTCAGCTTCCCACAAACTGAGCCGCTTTGAGGCTTGGTGGCCTTCATTAAAGGCAGACGGAAGAAACCAGCTTGGACCAGTACCGAAGTCAAGAGCGCTCCAGTGACTTTGATCTGGTCATTTGCTGGCAGGTTCCAATTCTGCCTGTCCTGAACGCCTAACAAAGAGGCTTGCACTGTGGGGGATTATGGAACTGAGCTCTTCTGGGTGAGTAGAATTTTTTTTTTCTCTTGGGAAGGGGAGTGTTGCTTTGTGAGTGTGTGAATGAGACGAGGGAAATTCCTCAGAGGTTTGCCCTCGAAGCGATGTGCGGAGATCCAATCTGCGTTTCTGATTATCCGAGAGGAGATCAGCCAGAGACGATCGCTTTGAAAGGAGTGTGACTGTTGGAATAAGAATCTGTAGTGCAGGAGAGGGCTCTGACCAAACTTCGGACCCGCAGGGGAGGTCTGGGAAATCTCTTAGGGAAAAAGAGAGGGTTTGGTTAGGCTTCGCACCGACGGAAAGGTGTGGGAAATCTCCTCAGGAAGAAAGAGAGTCTAGTCAGGCTTCGAGCTGACAGAAAGGAATCCCCTGGGAAAAATGGGCAACCATGCTGGTAGCCTGTTTGGAACAAATAACTAGTAACAAGAATTGGGCCGTGTTCTCCATTTGGCTATGTTATCCCACTGGAACACATTACAAACAAGTTGTGAAAAAACAAAACAAAAAATAGTATTAAAAAAAATGAATGAAAAAATGTTGTGGCAGTAAAAGTTGTCTGTAAAAAGAAAAGTGGAGTTCAAACTTGCTCATGAGAGCCGTGGCTAAATGCAAACGATGTGTATACCTCTTATACATCTTGATCTTTAAAATGGGCCAGCGATTACTGGGAGATCCAAGTTAGAATGAGAACACACAGAACACCCCCAGGGCAGAGGCACGTAGTAACAATCTAGTGCCTAAAGAGAGATCTATGGGTGGCAAAGAAATATTGCAGTGTTATAAAGATCTTGATAATTTACCATTCTCAAAAGAGCCAGAGAAGTCTGAAAGAACTAAGAAGAAAGAAGAAATTGTTTATTGTTCTTCCCACCTGGGTTTTAGCAGGTAATAAAAAATGTAAAACCTGCCTAAATGGGAAGATTGATATAATTTGACTTGATCAATTTGGTGTGATTTCTGTTACAAAATTCCTGGATATGCATCTATAATAATAGCATGTAGAATTGATTGTGATATATCTGGCCAGCCTGCAAATTAAGTAAACATCTCGGCTTGGAGCTGTGGGAAACAGAAAGTAGTTAGGGCCCACAATCATATTTATGATTTAAACTGCTCTCTGAGTTTCCCCACTGCTTTAAGAATAAGTTATAGGTTGCCCAAGGAAATAAAATTTAAAAAAAAAAAACAACCTCCACAGGTCTGGAAATGTTTGGTGGTATATGTGTGTATGTGTATGTGTGTAATCATTTCCAAACTTGCAGGAAGGATGAGACCCTCTAACAACAGCAGACAAAAAGTTATTTAGAAAATGGAGCTAATTGGCTTGTGAAAAAGCTCCCTGAAATAATTATGATTGGTTTGCATGGAGGAAGCATTAAATGAAATTTTTGTATGTGAAATTGGTTTATACAAAAAGTCTGATTGCAGTACAAATGTGAATGGGTGTGTGTGAGATGTCCCGAAGCTCATAAGGAGTGATAAGGCGAAGTGATCCTGAGACCTGTGAATGCCTGGGTGTTGAGGATGTGGGAGATAAATTTGTGGAAAATGTCTGTGAGGCTAGAGAGAAATGCAGAGGGTTGTTTTGTTGAAAGGATGCTGAGAGGCGAAAGGAGGTGAGAATTCTATGTAGTTTAAACATTTTTCTCCCTGTATTTTCCCTTTCCCCCATCATTCTTTTACACAAGGACAGCCCCCCCACTCCCTTGGAGGAGCGAGAGAAGCAGGGAGATGGAGGGGCGGCTCTACATAGAATGGGAGGGGCTCCTAAGGGTCCCAGATATTGCAAGGGTTGGAGAATGGGGGGGGAGTCCCAGTCCTCTGAGGATTGGGGTGTGTGTGCAGGGGTGAAAGGGGGGCTGCGGGTTTTTGTTCTTTTCACCATTTTTTTCCCTCTCTGCTGAACAAGCCTGAGAAAGGCAGGGTAAAGGGTGATATCTGATACCTGCCTTTACAGTTGCATTGTGTTTGGCTCTGAATACAATTTTGATTTTCTTTTTCCTTCTGGACATTTTTGAGGTTTCAAATACTTACATACCCAATTATATTTCAGAGTATTGACTCAAAATACCTCATTTAGATTGTTTGTTTTATTTTTGAAGCTGCTTTTCTTACTCTTTTATGTCTCTATGTCTGCGTGCATTTTGCATACTTAGCAGACAAGGTGCTCTATCCTATGGCATGTTTGTTTGTTTATTTGTTTGTTTGTTTGCTTGCTTGTTTGTTTGTTAGCAGCACAAGTTGCTGCCCTTTTAGGAATTGTTACAGAGATGAGTTAGAAATTACAATATGTAGTAAGGGAGAGTCAGTGGCATTTTTGTCTAAAATGTTAGATTCTGCCTGTTAAGGTTTTCCAGTTTGTGTTCAAGCAGTGGCAGCTATGGCAGTGTTAGTGAAGGAAAGCAGAAAGTTGACTTTTGGAGGAGCCCTAGTGCCCCTCCTCAAGTGAGGGTGATCTTGATTGAGAGTATGCTTGTTTTTGTTTGAATCCAGCTCAGTTTACGAGGAGATTTAGAAGGACGATCAGATATTGGTGCTGAGAAGGGGTTAATTTGTTTATAGATGGGAAGAGAAAGTGGTAGCAGGTAAGAGAAGACATTTAGGTAAGTTGGTTTGCACAGGCTTGTGAAATCAAGCTTTGAATTTCTTTGAAGCTTGAGGCGCTACTTGGAAGCCAGGATGGCAGCGGCAGAAAGAACTGAATGTTTAGTGTTAGGTGAGAAGTACTAGTTAAAGAAAATGTGAGCAGTAGAAAGAGAAGGGAGGGCTACTTTAGCGTGAGACCATTTCAATGCATTTGAGTTGATTTTATTAGACCAACTTAAGTGGGGAGACTTAGATATTTATTGGTGATAGTGGGTCACTTGACTGGATGGGTTGAGGCTTATCCAGCCATGAGAGCCACTCAGCAGTAGTCACCAAAATTAACAGATAATACCTAAATATGGGACAGTAGAAGCTATAGACAGCAACCAAGAGACTCATTTTACTGCAAAAGTGCTTCAATTAATAATGGAGGCAGTGGGAATGTCATGTTCCATGGAATGCAAAATCATCTCTGCTGTGAACCAAATCTTTACCCTTGCCTTGCCAAATGATGTTTGGATTACCACGCT